AGGGTAAATTTAATATAGTTGTCCAAAAAATTCGTTATATAAAAATTCGCTATAGAGAGGTATGACTGTATAATGTAATTTATATAAATAAGTAACTTTTAGATTATGTAAAAAGCAGGATTTGACAAGTTAGTTTCTAGTAGTTTAAGAGGCAAATAGGTATATCATATTATATCTTAAGTTTTAGTAATTTGTTTTTTATTTTTATTTTCTTTTATTTTTTATCTTCTCAATTTGTGAATAAAAATATTATTTTACAATATAATTACTTGGTAAATTATGAATTATTGTTTATGAAATACTTATTTAAAATATTCTTTAAAAATTAAGTCATTAATAAACTTGTAAAGTGTTAAGATTACTATATAATTAATACTTAGACAGCCTATCTAATAGTTATAGTTTGCAAAAATTATACGTTAACACTATTAATTTAACTATAATGAAATTTTTATGAAATTATTCAGTTTTATGTCTTAGCTGAGATTTGAACTGATGGTCTATTATTGTGTAATGAAACTTTAATATACAGAAGCATCACAGCTCAATTTTATTATTTTTAATATTATATATTAATATATCATCAGTAAGTTTTTGGCAGATATTTAATGTGTTGACAAACACCATGTGTTGCTCAATGCCAAAATGTGTTGAGCAATAAACTCTATATCAACTGATGTAATTCAACAATGTGTTGTGAGTATTAAGCAACGGCATATAGTAAAACAACAGCAGTTAATGCTAATTGAAAATCACGTATAACAATATTACTTTAGTTAAAAAACGCATGTAATATTACATAGTTATACATATAATATTAGCTGAAAAACATGATATATATATTAATAAATTTATAATAGTAATGAATAAATTAATACATCAATTGAAATAATCATAATAAAAATATAAAAGAATTAAAAGAAAAAAAAATATGAAAAAATATGTGAAATCTAAATATTCTACAAAAATAATATACACATATTTAGTCATTTACTGATGACATATTATTATTACTATCATTATCCACTAATTGATTAGAAGGCAAATACACCAGAGAATAATGATCATGTACATCTGAGTTCTAATTAAAAGTATTTTAATATTAGTAATTAAATTTAAATACTATTATAAATTTAGTCCATATACTTACCATTTTGGTGTCAGTAATCACTTCGGTCCAATTTTCTATTACATCAGAGTCAATTTTTGACAAAAGATGTTTTTCATCAAAAATTACCTCGAGAACTGACTGAACCTAAACCCCATTTAATTGCGTACATTCTTTTTCAACTGTAAAAACGGATTTAATTATTAGAGAAATATATGTGTCAGCTTGCGCATCTTCAGGATTGATAGGCTTGTATAAATTGTCATATACTTGTTGAATGTTTTTATTTTGCTTCTACTCTTTCATCTGATGTTTGGTATAAGTATCTTTAAAAAGCTTTATTCGGTTTATACCAAATGTCAACCACAAACTTTCTTTAACTCTTCTTACATAGTAGCCTCTTTTGAACAAACTGTGATGAGTAGCTAATTTACTAAACATATTAGTATACTAACTAATATAATATTATATTAATTGGAAAACTAGTACTTACAGAGGAATACATTTTTCTGTTCCACAACTCATCAAGGTTAAACCTCTTTCATTAGACTTCCAGAGAAAATCAATGTAATGTTTATCACTATCTAATTTTTCTTTAAAACGTTCTTTCATCTGTTATTCAGATAACTGTTTATGCTCATGGAATATTTCATAAGCAAGCTTTTTAATCGCTTCCTGTAATACAAATATAATTATAAGCAAATATTTAAAGAAATATTATAAATTATTTATATTTATTTACATGGTAAAATTCTTCCTTTTTCTTAACTTTGCTTTTTCCTTTATCTTCCTTCTCAATTTTAGGGCAGATTTTCTCATAGTAATCATTTAATAATAACAATATTGTTGATATTTTATTGTCCTGATTGTTTATCTTCTCCTCTAGTTTTTCTTAATTTATAATTAGTTTGTTCAGTTTTGTTAAATTGCTTTGACAGATTTTAATTATTTTCGTTAATTCTCACATATAATCAGCTAATAAATTAGAATTAATTTAATATTATATTAATAAACACAAGATATATATTGATGTAAATTCTATTTGACCTTCAGCAGATTCTTTAGAATCTTGAGATACTCTGAAGCTTATCTTAGACATTTTAGATGTCATTCGATGTATAAAATGAGGTATTACTATATCAGATAAAGACATTGTTGATGTTTCTCCTATCTATGTGATAAATAAATACATTGAGGATTAGTTAAAACAAGTAACAATAATAAAAAATATAATTTGCCATTGCTAATTGAATCGTTTCTCAATATATCCTAGTAGTATTACTTGAACTTGTCTGAAAGATGAAATCATTGTTTGAAAACAAGTTGATTTTTGAAATTTTTATTTTCCTAATATTTGATCGTGATCTGTCAACAGATTCCTCAGATTTCCTAGTATTTGATCGTGGTTTGTCAACAGATTTCTCAGGTTTTCTAGTATTTGATTGTGGTCTGTCAACAGATTTCTCAGTAACCTCAGTATTAGTATCAGTAGAACTCAAGCGTTCTTTTAATGCTACGTTTAATTTTAAAAATTAGTACACTTAATTTATTTTAATAAACAAAGAAGTTTTCTTCATATCTTAATTTTTCAGAGTCTAAAAGAAAGTATAACGAGTTAATAAATATAGAAATAAATCAACCAAATATAATTAATAAACAATATATAATTACCTTTTCGTTTGTTGTGATTAATCTTATCTTTAGACATTTTAAGTTGTTGTAATTAATAGTACTCATTATGGTAAATATGATAGGTAAAAAAAGAGAGTAAAAAAGATATTGGATATTGGTGTTTCTTGATTCTTTTTATTTTTATGTTTTTAGATAATGTGATTAATCTCATTAATTAATTTAATGATGAGGGGCGTGAATTGATCATTAATCAATTCAATTCAGTATAAACATCATGATAATCCAAAATCCTTAAATTCATCACATTAATTTAACTTAGTAGTTAAATCCACATTTTATTTTATTAAAAAAATGCCAAGTTATACATGTTCAACTTGTGAAAGAGAATTTAGTCATTGTGCTTCACTACAAAATCATGTAAAGGTTCATGATAATGCAGTAGTTGATAGAGCTTTACAAAAAATTTCTGAAGAAGTAGAACAGGCCTATAAATAACTAGAAGAAGAAGAAGAGTTGAGTTATAATGAGTAACTAGAAGAAGAGGAAGAATTGAGTTATAACGAATAACTAGAAGAAGTCGAGAAGTTTGATTACGAAGAATAATTTGAAGAAGAGGAGTTGAGTTATGACAAATAACTTGAAGAAGAGGAGGAGTTTAATTACAAAAAATAACTTAAAGAAGAGGTAGGAGATCAATGTATTACATAGTTATTTGATGTGATATTATATTAACATCTATATATAGCAGATGATCGATAATAACAAGATCGAGTATTTATTGCTTCCTGTTGAAACAAGTCTAATTCTTGAGTCTCTTAATATTAGTAATTCAACAACAAACATACCAGAATTTCCAAGCAATGAATTTAGAGATTTTATGAAATTATTTACTAAATAGAACTTATCAAATACATGTAGCAGCGATATACTTAAATTTTCAAAAAATTTTTTTCGTGATGATGTAATTTTACCAACATCTGTAAAAAAGGGCTGTCAGTTATTAGATCAGATAAATGTATCACATATTTTTTTTAAAAAGATCCCTATTATGGTATATAAAGAGGAAATATATTACCTTTATTATCGTCAAATTTTTGATGCTATAAAGGAGTTGTTAAGCAATCAAAATATATTTCATCATTGTAAATTTAAATTTGAGCTATTGAATCATGAAGGTCAGAGAATTTATCATGAATAGTATAATGGAAAGTGATGGGAAAGGGTACAAAATTCAATTCCCAGTGAAGTAAAAGTCTTGTTGATAATCATGTATTCTGACGTAACGACATGTGACTAATTAGGTAAAACCAGCCAACATCCCATTTATTTAACCTTAGGAAATATACCTAGCTGAATTAGGAATAAATCTGATTCAAAAGTTCTTTTGGGATATCTTCCGCAATTGAAGGCAAAAACCAACTCTGAAAAAATTTAAGGGCTTTCAATTGGCTAAACGTGTCCTTTATCAATATGCTTTAAGTATATTGACATGTCCGATACTTGATTATAAGGCTGATGGAATTGACCTTAAAATGGATAACAATGAATTACTATGGTATTACCCATTTATTTCTGTGATGCTAGGAGATCTTTCAGAAAATGCTGCGGTAATTCTAACGTATAATTCTGTTAATTATAAATACCTGTGTCATTAGTGTTTAATAGAAAACGGAAACCTAAATAATTTAAAATTGAAAAACGAATGAATTATTCTGAGAACATCAGAAGGTATAAAGAGTATTGTTGAACAAGGTTTTGCACAACAATACTTTTTACATAATATAGAAAACATCTTCTAGAAATACCTGTACGTATCATGTGATCAATAAAAAGAATTAATTATGACGATTTTTTAATAACATTTATTTACTTAGTCATCTAAACATTTATTGGCAATAATTCCCGATTGCATGCATCTTCTTGACTTGGGCTTGTTCAATTATCAAGTGAATTATACAAGGGAATTGCTGATGAATTACTGTGGTAAAGTAGCAGTTGACGAATTTGATAATCGCCTAGCTGAAATTCCAAGATTTCCTAGACTCAAGTTGTTTAAAAATGGGTTGGACAATATTAAGCAGTTTACAGCAGATGATTTTTGGAATATGATGAAGGTATTTCTTTTCATCATTGAAGGATTAATCAAAAAGCATCACAAAGAATCGGTAAGCGAAATTAAGCCAAAAAGGCTGATGAACTATTAGTTAGCATATACTATAGCTGGAATAAGATGTATTTGTACAGTCAACGGGAACATTTTGGGAATCAGAGTTGTATATTTTTGAGGTATGATGGATTAATGAGTTTTTAAAGTTATGGTACTAAAGTTTGATTATTAATGTAATGAATTAATTGTATTTGTAGGAATTAATTACGAGTTGGATAATATTATTTGTAAAGCTCTTTAAATCATATTCTCTATCAGAGCTTCGATTACTAAAGTTACACAACTAGTGTTATCATGTCGTCACAGAAATTAAAGAACATAAGGCGATTAACAGTTTTACAACAGAAACATATGAATCTTTGTATAAAGGTTCTGTTAAAAAACCATATAGAGCCAGTAACAAGTATAATGCAACGGATCAAATGATTAAATGGTTAGTATCTATTTTATTCATTGTTTTAATAATTATATATATTAAATTGCTATTGTTTTTTATAGGTTTATCGTAACTTGATAGTTAAATACTTGCCACATCAACATGTAGCTGTTAATCGACACTGACAAAAAACTACAATAAACGGCCTTTTAGACACGTTTTTTTTAAAAGATTTTGACAAATTTTTTAATAATTACAAGTCAACCAATGATTTGGCTGATAAAGCTTTAATGGCTTTTGAACACTTTCTACCAGCGTTAAATGAATTTTTTGACTTGTGTAAAGGTTTAACTGATGCGATTAATTATAAAATTAGCTGATATAACTATACTAATGCTATTCCTAGTGGAGATTATATTAGAGCAAAAAGCAAATATTACAATGAACTATTATTTAGCGATGTATCGATCAACATGAGTAAAGAAGAAACTAAAAACTATAATACAGATGAAAGTTCATATTTTGGCAAGATACAGTTGATAATACTAGTAGTTTTATATTAATAACAATATCAATTATCAATGTATTTTATGTATTTAGGTTCTTATGTTAATTAATATTGAAATGGAAGATTATTCATCTTTTGATCTTACCCTTGTACGATAGTATAATTTTTGTTACAAATATGATTCAAGACGTTTATACAAATACTATTGCCCCTATTGCAGATTACAAATATATATAATGTTATACCCGTAGAATCAATCATTGAATTAGTGTATATAATTCAACGTGCTAAATGACCAAATGAATATTTTGTAAATGTATACATGTTTTAATTCGTGAAAATAAAGTTTAAATTTAAATTTTTAATTTTTTGACAAGTCACAGTATGCGTTTGTATACGTTATTGCACAATAGTATATAACGTGATAAATAACAGATGGTATTGAAAACATGTATAACAATAGTATGTGTTAATAAACTTTAATACACAACGTTATATAATGTTATGTATTGCGTTAAACTATGGGTTAGTGTTGATCAACACATATACTGGCATGGATCAACATCTTCAAAATTTTCCAATGATTATAAACTTTTTTTATTATTTTCAAAGCAAGTATGAAATGTGTGTCAAATTATACTGATTATATGATTTATCTATATGGCACATTTTTGCATAAAAATGTGGATAAATCAAATTGTATAAATAAAATCTCATTTGAAGTCTAAGTAAACTTGCAGAATAAGCAAAAATACATTTACATATATATATTTTTAAAGTTCAAATAAAGTTTATTAAGGTATAGTTCAGAAAAGAAAAAAATTTGTAGAAAATTGTTTGTGGTATATGCTGGTCATTATATCAATCATTTCTAAAAAAATATTTTTTCAGGATAATCTGATATATATTACAGATTTGCATTTTTAAAAGGATATTATGTGTAATAGATATTACAGATAAAATTTTCATATATTTATTTTGAAATATAAAAAATCTACTATTTAATGTATTTTTAATTCAATAAATTAAATTATATTTTTTCTGTAAATATTAGATAATAAATAATTTTTAGAAGTTTAAAATATTTTAAATTAATATAATTTGTGATTAATTGATACTAAAAATATAAATATAATATTTAGAAGTTTTTTCATTTACTAAAATATTATAATTTTAAAACTTGATGAAACAATATTAAACTCTTATTAAATTTTAATAAAATTTACTAAAATGGTAAAATGTTAAACTATTATAGTGAATGTTAAAACTGGAGAAATTCTAATAAAACTATATTAAACTCTTTAAAAATTTTGACAAATTAATAAAAATGTTTAAGCAGATAATCTTAATTAGATGCATTTAATTAAACAAATTTAATAAATTAAATTTATCATTTTATGATTACTAAATATTAAAGTATCTTAATTTTTATAATTTTTAATAAATATATTAAACATTTAAATAATAATTAAATTGATATTAAATTATTAATTTAAATTGATTTTTATTAATTTATTTGATTTAATTTATAAGAATTAATATAGTCAACTCTTTCTACAGCGAATTTTGATATAACGAATTTTACAATACAACGGATTTTCAGTGTCGGACAGATTTTT